GTGTCAGAACACACAGCGTATCACAGTTTGTTGTGTATGAGGCTGCCTCTGTGTTATGGCTGATCGTAAAGAATATGGTGACGGAGGCATGTGGTTGTTTTTCTTGAGAAGTGATGGTATTTGTATAGTTTGTGTTTTACTGTTATTTTGTTTTAATATGTTGTGATTTTGTATGGCTGCTACCTTGGGGCGGTCAATTTTCTTTCAAGCTACTAATTCTTGTTGTTGGTTCAATTAGGGAAAGGCATATGGATATTCACACTATCACACAATACATTATCACCACACCGCAATTGTTTTTGCATTAAATCCATCTTACAAACACAACATGGTTATTAAAATCAGCAGGTCCTGCAAAGTCCGCTGCAAGTCTGTGGACAGTGAAAGGTCCATAATAATGTCACTGTATGTGAGAGGATGGTCCACTGGAGCTGACTGTGTCTTGTTGTTATTGTTGTTTGTGGTCATAAAGATGGACAACATCTCCGTGGGCTTTAAGAAGGATGAATACATCCACTGGATGTTGAGGATGTGTTGAGTGTCTTCACTGAGTCTGTCCCCCTGCATACAATTTGCATGAATCATTCAAAGTGACTTTATTATCAGGGAAGAACGAATACAACCATCAATAAACATAGCTCATAGTCAAATCTTAATAAAACCTTTCTAGAATATGGCACAAGATGGCTGCACTTTACAGATTGTAGCTCCCCAATCAATGTGTGCCTCTGCCTCTTTACAGTGCCACTAAAGTTCAATAACATTGCAACAACAGAGGGTGTTTCATTATGATAGTAAGCCACTTCATTTGAATCACTGAAAACTATCCATTTACTTTTTTCTTCTTGATGATATAAAATGTTCTTGGTTTTCTTTAATGTACCATTCGGGCCATCACTGGAAGCTTTCTGTCTTACGTTAGGGTTAACTTTCAATTTATTATGCCATTTTTAACTGTTATTAAAAAAAATAATCATGCTTTACCAGGCAATTCAAAAAGTTCCTCTTCTGTCTTGCCAAAGGGACAGCATGAGGCTGCAGATTATGCCTTCACTTCTCATCTCAGTTTTTTGAACACACAGAGCCATTTGTGGAAAGATGAGGTGCAAGGGCATAGGAAGGGGCTACAAAGTGGGATGATTTGTGCTGTGCATATGTATGGGACAGTGTGTCTGTGTGGTGTGGTTGTGTGGTTTGTTGTGTGTGTGAGAGAGAGAGATAGTGAGTGAGTAGAGAGGGGAAAAAAGCACAATTTTGAACAAACACACCTGACTTAGTTTGTTCAGGAACGGCCTCAGCTTGGCAGTGAGTTTTGGTGCTCAGCTTCCTGCTTGATCTGA